CACACACACACACACACACACACACACACTATTTAGAGACCCGCGTATGTATAAGTCAAGGGCCGGCTGCTGCCTCAAATGTCAATGCCTTTATCATGTAGTCACTGAAGCCTTACAGTCAGGTAACTCAGCTCAACCTGGCCTAGATTCGCTTAACTTAATCGACTATAACCTAATCTAACCTAACCTAACCTTACCTAAGTTAACCTGATTAACCTAAGCTAACTTCACCTAACCTAATCTAACCTAACAAATCCTTTGGGGCTGAAGCAATGACTCAGAACGTTAGTCCAATTATTCTATATAAACATCTACAATAACACACTTCCTTAGTTAAGTTAATAAGCCCAATGTTCACCTTTAATGACCTAACTAATAATATCTTTCCAAGTGAAGAATTCGTTTTCAATAGTGTGATGGTTGAGTGGATACAATTCCCTCTCTCTGTTCGAAGGGTTGTTGGTTCGCTACCGGGATTTCCTTCAGGTCACCCCAGCGGTGTTTTGATACTTGGATTTACAGCTGTTTAAGGGTGTGTACTCAGCGCTCTGTGTACATTTACCGTTATACTTGCGGCTATGAGCTAATGCCAACATAGGTTAATTTTGTCAGACAACAATATCTTATTGATCGCTTTGCTTTGCTGGCCCTCAACGCTTTTCTTTCATTTACTATCATGTTATATTTCATGGTTAATCTCAACATCTTCCACGGTGTGAGTCGGTGATTCTAAACCCCTGATATTCCCTTTAAAAACACTTACTTCATATCTTCATGTTTTCTAGTCTCATCTATTTTGACCCTTTCTTCTGATTTATATTATCCATAAACAAGTTCATTCTCTTGTATCTGTTAACACCTAAGTGCTTCTGTGATGTGTCATTGATGGCGAACCAGGCAACTGTACATCACATCTTTGCCCATCAACAAAATTACATTGAAATACTTAACAAATGTTTTGGTATGTGTGACTGTTCTCGTGTCATATAAAAAAAAACAGCAACTTCATAAATTGTATAAAAAACAACAACACACAAGTACTTTATCATTGCTACTAAGAGTGGAAAGAACATAGTGGTGGTAACTTCCACTCGGCGTCCCCAGCCATGCCTAAATTATGAAACACTGGTTATGAGAGTTGTGATTCCCTGCGGTGATAGTGGTGGTGATAGTGGTGATGGTAGTTGTGGTGGTGGTTAATGATGGTTATAGTGGTGGTAATAGTGGTGTTGATATGGTGGTGATAGTGATGGTGGTTAGTGGTGGTCGCCGTTAAGAGTGGTGATGCTGGGGTTGGTACCCCTGAAACCAATTCACCTTATGTCGTAAAAGCTGCAAGATCAAACATGACCTAAATTCAATAATAATTAGAATTGGACCATGAAACGCCATACGATCGACCGTGTGACTTAAAACCTTCTTAAGACAATTTACGATGAAGATCAAACAGAGGGAGGAAGGAGGGAGGGAAGGAGGGAGGGAGGAGGGAGGGAAGGAGGAAAGGAGGGAGGGAGGAGGAGGGAAGGAGGAAAGGAGGAGGAGGAGGGAGGAGGGAGGGAAGGAGGAAAGGAGGAGGGAGGGAGGGGAAGAGGGAGAGGAAGGAGGGAGGGAGGGAGGACGAGTTCCTCTTGACTTGCGTTATAAATTACTCTAACCATGAAGAGGAGAACTGGATCTTGTTATGAGAGACTCGGGGGGGCAATTCAGGTGTCATTTTAGGCGGCAGATGGTTCATTAAAAGGCACCAAAACAGGATCTATGTTCTCTATAATTCCCACGACAAATTTATTCACCAAACTGGAAATACGAAATTTTAGTCAACTTACGGTAGAGTCTTGGGGGGGTGGAAATTCCAATGTCATTTGAAGTAACATAAGTGAATCACGATGTTGAATGACAAGGAAACGGGATAAAGATTTTCAAAGAAGAATGAAGTCAAATTGATTCCTTTATTATGGAACATGAAAATGACACAAAGTTACTATAATCTTGTAACAGGATTGACGTCAGTTTGGGAACTATCTTTGTATCTTTCCTTAAATGAGGATGGATATTGGGCAGGTAATGAGAGTAGCCACAAAGGATTAGTCAAATCTCTCGTAACTGTACAGGTGAAGTGGGCCAGAACACCTTCCCGACAGTGCCCCAAGAGAACACACTGTACATCATGAACAGTGAAAGTAGGTTAAAAAGTCACTCGTATACTACCTACTTGGGGAGAGGTGGGGTGAGAGGGTGAGGAGAGGTGGGGAGAGAGGGTGGGGTGAGGGGGTGAGGAGAGGTGAGGAGAGGTGGGGAGGGAGGGTGGGGTGGGAGGTGAGGAGAGGGGGGTGTGGGGGTGGGGAGAGGGTGAGGAGAGGTGGGGAGGGAGGTGGGGGTGGGGTGAGAGGGGTGAGGAGGAGGTGGGGGAGAGGAGGGTGGGGGTGGGGAGGAGGGTGAGGTGGGAGAGGTGGGGGTGGGGAGAGAGGTGAGGGAGGTGGGGAGGAGAGGGGGTGGGGTGGAGAGGGGGTGAGGAGAGAGTGGGAGGAGGGTGGGGTGAGAGGGTGAGGAGGGAGAGTGGGGAGGAGGGGGTGAGGGTGAGAGAGAGGAGGAGGTGGAGAGGAGGGTGGGGTGGGAGGGTGAGAGGAGAGGAGGAGGGGAGAGGGGTGGGGTGAGGAGGGGTGAGGAGGGTGGAGGGAGGAGGGGTGGGGAGGGGTGGGGTGAGGTGAGGGGGGGGGAGAGGAGGGTGGGGTGAGAGGGGTGAGGGAGGTGGGGAGAGGGGGTGGGGTGAGAGGGTGAGGTGGAGAGAGGGTGGGGGTGAGAGGATGGAGGAGAGGGTGGGGAGAGGAGGAAGGTGGGGTGAGGAGAGAGGGGTGGGGGAGAGGAGGTGGGGAGGGAGGGGTGGGGTGAGAGGGTGAGGGAGAGTGGGTGGGGTGGGAGTGAGGAGAGGTGGGGAGGGGGGTGGGGTGTGAGACGGGGAGAGAGTGGGGTGAGAGGGTGAGGTGGGGAGAGAGGTGGGGTGAGAGGTGAGGGAGGGAGGGGAGGGAGGGTGGGGTGCAGAGGGTGAGAGGAGGAGGTGGGGAGAGAGGGGTGGGGTGGGGGAGGGGTGGGGTGAGAGGGTGAGGAGGGGTGGGGAGGGAGGGTGGGTGGGGTGGGGTGAGAGGGTGGGTGAGAGGGGAAGGAGGGTGGAGGGGTGGGGAGGGTGGGTGTGAGAGGGGTGGGAGTGGGGGAGGGAGGGTGGGGTGAGAGGGTGGGGTGAGGGGTGAGGGAGGTGGGGAGAGGGGTGGGGTGAGAGGGGTGAGGAAGGTGAGGAGGGGGGTGGGGTGAGAGGAGGGAGGTGGGGAGGGAGGGGGTGGGGTGAGGAGGGGTGAGAGGAGGAGGTGGGGAGGGAGGGGTGGGGTGAGAGGGTGAGGAGGAGGTGAGGGAGGAGGGTGGGGTGAGAGGGTGAGAAGGTGGGAGGGGGGGGTGGGAGGGGTGAGGTGGGGGGTGAGGGAGAGGGGGAGTGGAGGGGGAGGAGTGGGGGGAGGGGGGGGTGAGGGAGGTGAGAGGTGGGGTGGGGTGAGAGGTGGGAGAGGTGGGGAGTGGGGTGGGGTGAGAGGTGAGGAGAGGTGGGGAGGGAGGGTGGGGGAGAGGGTGAGGAGAGGTGGGGAGAGAGGGGTGGGGTGAGAGAGTGAGGAGAGGTGGGGGAGGGAGGGTGGGGTGAGGAGGGTGAGGGAGAGGTGGGGAGGAGGGGTGGAGTGAGGGGGTGAGGGAGAGGTGGGGGGAGGGTGAGGAGGGAGGTGAGGTGGGGGTGAAGAGGGGTGGAGGGGTGGGAGTGGGGGTGAGGGAGAGGGAGGGTGGAGGGGTGAGGTGGGGTGAGGAGAGGTGGGGGGAGAGAGGGGTGGGGTGAGAGGGTGAGGAGAGGTGGGGAGAGAGGGGTGGGATGAGAGAGTGAGGAGAGATGGGGAGGGAGGGGTGAGGAGTGGGGGTGAGGAGGGGAGGGAGTGGAGGGGTGGGGTTGAGGAGAGGAGGCAAAGATATGAGTGTGAGAAGAAAGTAGAGAAAGCAATGGAAGGTTAGTGTGAGGAGAAGTGTAGGATAGCTTGGAAGAGAGAGAGACACTCAGAAAAAGAAAGCGATGTCAAGGGAGAAAAACAGAAAGGAAGCGAGAAAAAAATCGCTCAATTATACCAACTTATTCTTTCACCACAAAAGATTAACCTTGAAACGTCTATTTGAGAGAGTTTCATGTTGGGACCAGAAAGCCGAAGAAGTTTCGCCTCTAACCCACCATTTCGGGGAAGTCTCATTCTTAAGGCGCTGACTTGAGAAATCTTCGTCAATTTTTGTTCAGCTTAAGAAAGTTTCATCTCAAGAGCCATGATACTGAGAAAGTTTCACCTTAGAATTACAATTTCGAGAGTTCCACCTGAAGAAAATCCAGCCCGCAGACCGTCATGGATGCCGGGAACCATTTGGTATCAGATCACCGGCTGCTTTTTTCTTTCTGATAAATTCTAGCATGTAAGGCTCAGTCACAGCACCAGAAGATCATTACCAACGTGGATGCTGTCACACTCAGAGACGGGTAACTCTATTGTCCCCAAGATGTTATGGATGAAATGTGAGATGATAAATCAATTCCATCTATCAATATCAGTTTAACACGTCAATCAAGGGGTTCATATATAACGCGATACTGATTTCTGGAGTTTGTGTGTGTGTGTGTGTGTGAAGGAGACGATTATAGTCTGACTGTTGCCCAAAGATCATTGTCATAACTTTGTTCCCTTATGGTGACCCCGAACGATGTCTGAAGGTCAGCTTAGGGGGTTCAAAGTTGGCAGGTTACCGATTTATTGCCCAGTTAAAGCGGCACTATTATCATCACTATTACAAACACAGGCTTCAATATTACAGAATCTTCCCAACTTTGAAAACATGGAATGGCTTCTTAAAATCACGATGGAAGAGCCGCCGGCCATACAAAGACGGGAGGCCATGATCATCGTGAACATCCAGGTCCTCCCCGACCACCTTACCTGTGCCCAGGACTGTGGCGAAGATGATGGTGACTGCTAAGAGAGTCCTCATGTTGGTGGCGGCTTCGTTCGTGTATGTGGAGGAAGGGGAGAAAGTTTATGTGGGTCCTGAGAGCGGGTCCTCGGGCGGGTCAGCGCGGGTGTGTATTTAGTCTTTGTTGGCTGAGGTTTCCCCGTCCTATCACCTCCACCGTCACCGGCACACTGAACTACACTGGGGTGCCAGGCGTCGGCTCCTGCTTCTGCTGCTGCCCGGACCTAGCGGCGCTGTTGCTTAATCTACCTTCTCATTTTAACATATTTCATTTCTTGGAACTAAAGTCTCAGCCCTTTAGTGTCTACCTGCAGGAGATAAGATCCACGTATTTTGTAAAGCGAAACTTCAGAATGAGGATAATGAATCTTTAGTGAGAGTTTTATTCGTGTTTCGTGTGAGTTGTCGGAGCTGGCACCCCGTGTGTGGCCTCGCCGGTGTACTGACTCGCCGGGAGATGCAATTTTCTCTTCATTTTCTGAACAATTTTTGTCATTCTATCTTGCACCCAGAGAGACTGGCACTGCATAATGTCGCGAAAGGGGAACGTGAGAATTGGCAGCTAATTAAGGCAGAATATACAGAGACATCTTTAAGCATATTTGATTCATATTTCTGACACCGTTTGGATTTCCAGAAGCCTTGACGACCGGGGGAGGAGGAGGATGGTGGTGTTGGTGGCGGGTTTTGTGACGATGATAATGTGTTTGGGTGGTGGTGTCGACGGTGCTTGGTGGAGCACTGTCACATCACGCTAAGATCAACCTCAACCACCAGCCCACATCATGGCAATAGTCCCTTGCTTTAACCTCCAGACACTCTTTGGAGAACAAAGATCTCGTGCCTTGGCTGTGCATCTCTCATGAGCGACTCGTGCAGGGTACAAACTGGCAACTTGAAAAGACGCACATCTTGCGCAGAGATATAGAGAGAGAGGGAGATAGAGAGAGGGACAGAGAGTAAGATAAGGCAATGGCATACGTTATTCACAGTTGTTGTTGTGAGGACCCTCCAGCTAGTGGGCTCCAGAAGGGGGAAACACTCTGGTGGTGCAGGAGGCAACAACACACTCTGCAACATGGTTCGATGCCCGCCACCCCTTCTGCATCTCTCATCCGGTTCTCAGCCATACCCGAGGACTATTCCATCCTGACCACATCCTTATCTGTATAATATCCCAACCTAACCACATCCCTACCTGTATAACATCCCAACCTGACCACATTCCTACCTGTATAACATCCCAACCAGACCACATCCCTACCTGTATAACATCTCAACCTGACCACATCCTTACCTGTATAACATCCCAACCTGACCACATCCCCACTTGTATAACATCTCAACCAGACCACATCCCTACCTGCATAACAACCCAACCTGACCACATCCCTACCTGCATAACATCCCAACCTAACCACATGCCTACCTGTATAACATCTCAACCAGACCACATCCCTACCTGCATAACATCCCAATCTGACCACATCATTTCCTATATAACATCCCAGCCTGACCACATCCTTACCTTTATAACATTCCAACCTGACCACATCCCTACCTGGTATCTTGTTCATTCTTGTTTATTCTTCAATTTAATATTATATTATATACTGTTATTATCTTCACTACAGTAAGTTTCACCAGCTTAGCACTAACAGATCATACGCTGCCACACAATGAATGATACCGTGGGGAAGACTCAGCAACTGTACGGTAAACATTTCAAAGTTAGATGGTCAACACCGCCATAAAGGCTCCAGGATCAAGGTATTGTTCACAGACGCAAGAAATCGAAGAGTGTGTTTAGCCCAGACGTTCAGAGGAGAACTTAGGGACAATCATCAGAAAAGTCTCTCATTGACGCTCGAAAGAACTATAGCTCTCTCACTCTACTGCCCACTGGATCCTGAAGCAAGAACTACTGTACCTATAAAATCTACAGTATATCCAAACACCCTCTTACACACACACACACACACACACACACACACACACACACACACACACACGGATAAGACCACCAGTCACCCTATGTCTCAGTGATTCAATGAGATGATGGAGGCAGATGAAATTGGATTGACCGGGTGTGGGTGACTGGCGGAGCTCACTTCAACCTTAATGGCGTAATGATCAGCCAAAAATTACTGATTCTGGGGAAGTGAATATCGTCATGATCATGTAACTGAGAGTCGCCTCCACCGTGTGAAGTGTTATAGTGTACAGTGTGGTTTGTGAGAGCTCTAGTTACACTATAGGACCAATGTGGCTCGAGGATAAAGAACGGGGATGAGATGACGGTGAACTAGGAAAATTATCACTGTGTCGTCGGCAAGTTCACCATTTCCCTCTCCGTAGTGGTTTGAGAAAGATGGTGCAACTCCCCACACTGCTTGGGAGACGAGAAATCTACTCTTTCAAGACCAAACACATCTGGTTCACTCATTCTCCAGACCTCAAGCCAACTGATCTTCTTTCTGTTAAAGTCGCTGCGTACAAAACCAGCCCTTGTAACATTCATCACCTCAAAGAAGTTGTTGGGGACTTTGTAAGATCCATCTCGCGTCTAACATACAAGAGGGTGACACGCATGTTTACCATTAGAGTGAATGCCTGCCTGAGATACCCTGGAGGACACACTGAACATGCTCTTAACGCTCTTCCACGCTCTTAACGCTCTTAATTAATCCCATGGTCTCAGTCTTTCTTATATTATTATAAATCAGAGTTTAAAAAATCCAAAGTTTTTTTATATTATATAAAGTGTTAAATTAACTTTAAATTATATATAACTTTCGTAAAATAAAACATGGAAGCAGTCCCCAGGTTTGTGAGATACCTTCTACCTTCCTGTCTTCCTAAATCCCAACCTTATCACATCTCTGTATGTCTGGCATCTCAGCCTAACCATATCCCTACCTGTCTAATAACACAACTAACCATATCCCTACCTGTCTTAATTTTCTAACCTGACCACATCCCTCTCTGGTATCTGTCTAACAATATAACCTGGTCACCTAACCATATGCCGTCACTTCAAGATCAGATTATTTATGTGAAAAGAATCAGTGACTGGATCTACAACTTTTCTGTACAAAATGATACAACTAAAAGTGCATGAATGAGCAGACACATATTATTGCTGCTTGGGGAAGTATTACAGCAGGCATAACGGAGGCCTCCCTGTCACTCCTGTCTACCAACTGTAGCCAGGGGTGGGGATCAATTCCATTTTGTCAATTCCAACTCCGACAAACTAAAAATTTATCAGTTCCAATTCAATTCCATTATTTAAATTTCATATTAAAAAATCGAGGTTTCATAACAACCATTTTACAGGGTGTCCAACTGTCCATAAATGATTACCCTGATTAGAGCATGAGAGCATAGTGCTTTAGGGTAATCATTTATGGACACCCTGTATTTCCATACGAGGTGACAACACACACACTAACAGCTCATGATAACTGCCATACAAATCTTCATATCCTGATCATTATTCACAACTACACAGTCCAAACTCCAGATTACTGTGGATTACATCTGGTCATAATGAGTTGTTCAAAATGGTTATCATTCGGGCTGCATCTCTGGTCTTTTCTAATATTTTTCATGTTTGGAAAGTTGATCGATATTAGTCTGAATTTAGTGGGCAAGATATTAAATGTGTCATACTGGATTCCCCCATTAAATACCCTACTGTACCTTGTTCAAAACATTCAAGTGTGATATTGGTTTCACACATTCGACATGTTGAACAAACTTTGACAAAATATCAATATGCTGGTCACATCAAGAAACATATAATTTTATTTTTATATAACATCACTTCACATCAATTCATCGCATTAATTCCAATTCACTTCAATTCGTTAAAAAAAACTGTCGACAATGATTAATTACCAAATGGTATTCAACTATATTTCAAAACTAACTGGAAATGCGGTTAAGCAGCTCATTTGGTTACCTCACAAAGATTCGTTCACCTACCTACCTACCTACACCACCCACCTACACCACCCACCCACCTGCCACCTACCTGCACCTATGCCACCCCACCTACACCACCCGCCTACACCACCCACCCACCTGCCTATCACCACCCACCTACCTACCTATACCACCCACCTACCTACCAACCTACACCACCCACCTACACCACCCACCCACCTACCTATACACCCACCTACCTACCTACCTACACCTACCTACACCACCCACCTACTACATCACTCTCCCATAACCCACCTACACCAGTCTCTAATCCTACACCACCCACCTACCTACACCAACCACCACCCACCCACCTACACCAACCACCTACACCACCCACCTACACCAACCACCACAATACCCACACCACCACTCACCCACCTTCGCGTTGTTAGAAGACCTCACCAACCTAACCAGGCAACCCCATCTAACTTCCTAGCTTAGTTCACACCGGACAGTTGCCATACGTCACATAAGAGAAAACGTGTAAAATTATTGAGTAACTGAACTAAACAGGAAATAAATATAAAATATTCAAAGACGATATTTATTGATTTTGAAATACGTTTTATTTTGGTATGGAATAAAAAGTAAGTCGTAATACAGAAAACATCTGTATACTGTAGGTTCGCTACCAAGTGAAACCTTTTTTTTTTCTTTGCAAGATATAATCATAAATTGCCTGCACCTATTCATCACATCTTCTACCATGTCTTTCCTGCCTCTATACTCTTCAGACCATCAACTTCTACCCCAAGATATATCTGATTAAGGGGGAAGAATTTTGTGTTGTCTCCAGGATCTATAGTTGCTGTACGGAACTTGACATCCTGTTCACTTCATCTCTCTTCATGTAACTCCACAATACATCACGGTAAAGATCACTGCATCTTTTATGTTGTATTAAAGGTTCTTGACGTTGTAAAAGAAGGTTAAGTTATTAAACTTTGGCAAAATATAGTTGAGAAAATGGAAGTATAAGCGTATGGATGGATCATTTAAGCTTTCTAGAATAGATAAAATTGTGTGAAAGTTTTTCCGCCATACTTATGCTGGTAAAATATAGTTTCAAAGGTTCCCATTGCTCTATCAGTTTCGCAACTGTCATGTGATAAGGAAAAATTACGTGAATGTATGCTATATACTGTATATCAATGAAGAGACTATGTACGTCATTTAAGGAGCAAATAAGTTACTAT